CTGGCAGGCACTGTCCTGCTGAGCTGGACTCTGGTCCAAAGAGGCCAGAACTATTCTAGGCTGCTTAAAGAATAAACATGTAATGCCCTGCCACTGAAAGGCAGTCACAAGAGCCAAGTATCCTTCTCACTGTGATAATTTACAAGTATGCTCTTAGGCAAGGAGCAGTACACAAAACCTTACTTTGTTCAAAGATGATTAAAGGCTTGGGTTTTGTTTTGCCTTACGTACTTTAGCTATTTTTGGTGAGAGCACTTAAAATGTATTTTATATATGCATACGTATTAGAATGCCCGTGCACACGGCTCATATTCTCACTTGCACCAACATATTTTGGAAACTAGAAATATACCCAAACATTAAAAAACAAAAAAACTTCTGAATTTTTGAGAGAAGTTGGGCGTCAAATCTCTGCCATTTATTAGGCCTGCACCTACCATATCACTCAGTTCTCTTAGTCCAGTTTTTGAAATCTATAAAGCAGAAAATGAAATACCGTGGGACAGTCTGTTACTAATTCCTGCCTGTTCTAGTTCTCAGCTCCAGGAGCCTTCAGGACACCAGCATGTAAGGGTTCTGCCCCGGGTTCCCAGGTGACCTTTCAGAAAGTGGGAGACCATGCATAATCAGAAAGTATATATGCATTTTTCTGCGGCGAGACTCCAAAACTCTGATGAGATTTTGTGGAATTAAAAAAAAAAAAAAACCTCGAAAGCTACTCAGAACCTGCTGCCCTGGAGGGTCAAACACTTGACAGTAGTACTACATCGTCCAGTTAGCAATACGACAGCCTCAGCATCAAACTGCACTGCTCATTCCTCCTGCACTTACAAAAATTAAGTCGTTGTTTAGCAGTGAGCTCGGGCCAATGACAGAGGTTACCTGGAATCTGTCCTGGGTGACCATCTAAAACATTCAGTGTTGCTGGATTCTAAACACGCACCTCCATCTCACAACTGTCAGACAGAACTTTGTGTGGCTGCACGACTCACGTCCACCCATCAGAATACAGCGAAGGTGCCGGCCTGTGCTCCAGCATCTGGATGCCACCTTGATGGTCCCGGAGGCCTCCTGGCTCTGCAGCAGCTGCGATGGCATGAAGGGCTACAGCTGGCCCTGTGGCAAGGACTGTGAGCCACCTCTCGTGACGGTGGCCTCGGCCCTACAGCTGAGAGGCTGTAGGATTCTGCCCACAAGCCCAGGCGTCTGAACAAACCTGGAGCTCCAGATGAGAACAGAGCTGTGACTATGCTTTGTGACCTGTGAGGCCCACGCTGATGGCCTGGCAAACTGCACCAGAGTCCTAACCCAGGAGATAACGTCTATATTTTAAGTCGCTAACTTTGTGGCAATATGCAATAAAGCAGTAGAAAATGAATATATGTGGTTTGACTAATTTCTAGCTATGTGAAAAAATATTAGCTCCATGGTAGGGGTCAGTACAAGTCCCCTACAGGAGACAAGGGTATATATAAATGCCGTGCATGACCTAGGTCAGGGTTCCTAAGCCTGGTCCCCATACACACACAACTACTACTACACAGGGGTCAGGAACGAAGTATAGTTTTATCTTGATAATTATAAGAAGAAAATGAGCAAAGGAAACTGTTTCTTCTTTCAGATCTTCAGTTTTAGTTAATTGAGCTGCTTTTCCACTCCAAGAGGCTGCACCAAGTTCAGAGATCACAGATCTCCTACATATACCTTACCCCGAAGCTTCACACAGGCAGTAAAGCCGCCCATTAAGATGGTCTAAGTTCACACTCATAAAAACTTATACCTGAAATATTTCTTTCTAGAATTTCAGTTAAATTTAAATTCACCTTTAGCAGGCCTCTTCAGAAAGTCTAAAACACCTTACCTTGCGAGGAGGACGCAGTCAACATTCTTTATTTTTCCCAAAATTAAGGCATCAGAGGGCTGCAAGCAACGAAAACTGGTTATAACATTTTAAAACATGCGCATGAACAATTAAAAGGCTGTCACCCAGGCCTGGGTGTGGTGGCACAGGCTGTAATCCCAGCACTCGGGAGGGTGAGGCAGGAGGATTATTGCAAGCTTGAGATTAGCCTGGGCTACAAAGTGAGCTCAAGGCCAGCCTAAGCTGCATAGCAAGAGCCCATTTCAAAGACAAAAAAAAAAAAAAGTTGCCATCTTAACTGCTAACCCATACCAGGTCTCACGGAGGCCTGGACCCTGAAGATACCTTTAGAAAAGAGTCTACAGATGATCAACCAATACAACCATCAATAAATACTCACTGCACTCTTGGTTGGCCCACACTTGCCAACGCCCAGGTTTGCCAGATGTGGGGGTAGGGGCTGGGTACATACCCGAGTTCCCCTGGGTACTGTGATGGCCACTAGCCGTGCTTACACACAGCAGGGGCATTTGGCGGGTTCAAGAACAGGTGCAAAAGGCAGAAGGGTTAGGAGAACACTGTCGTGGCACAAAGGACTCTGACATGGAGCTCTGCGCCTGCTGAACCACACAGAAGACGGCCAAGTGGCAACCTGAGGTAGTTCAGGGAGGCCCTGAGAACCTGAGCCTAAGAAGTGGGCCAGGACAGACTTGGAAGACGGGATGGTAGTCGAAGAGCTGAGCTGGAAAGCAGGCTCTGCTTGGGATGGCTAGACACGGGAGCTGTCACAGGCAGATCAGAGGACATAATTTTGGAAGTGGCCATGTGGGGCTGGCCCTGGCTGGTAACACAAAGGCTCAGACACAGGCACCGCTCTGGACTAGGACGACAGTTTTATTTTCAGTTATTTTAACACCAACCGTGTTCTGTAACCTCAAGACAAACCTTCTTTGGACCAGGGCTCTCTCAGAAGATGTCATTTTGTAATATTTCATCCTATTAGTCATCAGCCTGCCCCCTCAGTCACAGTTGTGTGACCCACAGGCCCCAAAGTAGAAGCTCATTTGAATACAAATTTGAACAGTACAGTTGCTAGGTTTGAAATGAGTGTATGGTTTCTAGCAACACAAATTCAGGAGCTACTTGGACACCCTCAAAAGTCATGCTGTCAGGACTGTGAGGTCCAAGGCAATTCCTGCGGTATTTCCTCAGCTGAGGGCGCCAGAGACAGCCCAGTCCCCTCCGCCAGGAGCAAATGGCCCGAGGCTTCTGAGACAAAAGCAGTCTCTATTTAACTACAACTCAAGCCAGTAAAAAAGACTGACAAGCTATCATGTCTCCACTAGTTAGACATTAACCTTGCCAAACGGAGTATCCACATATTTTTCAGTTCTTCCTTCTAAAATCTCTGGATCATCCAGGCCTGTTCCGCCAATTATTCCAATCTAAGGGAGAAACAAAAGATTATTACATTGGGTGACTTTTCATTAGAAACAAAATACTGTAATTATTTCAAACAAATTCATCTATACACTCTCCTCTTACATTAATATACTCTCCTCATTCTTGCTGAACCCTAATTTTAAAAAAATTTGAAAATTACAAAAAAAAAAAAAAAAAAAAGGCAAATGAAGGTTTTCTATCAAAAAAATCAACAAAAACTTGAAATGACCAAAATATACCACTTTGGGGCATTTATTTCTGACTGAATTACAAATAAGCACAAAATGATACTTTTAGGTTAGAAAATCAAATATAAAGTAGGGAAATGTGCTTGTGGAAAGTTCTTTTTGATCAATGTTATTTTCTATGTTAATTGGAATATGGCGAAAAGAACATTAGGAAACCCTGCTAGGACATAATATTTCAGGCATGTCATTTGCTAATGACACCATCTCATTGCTATTTTATAAAATAATGAGATTTTCTGCACTATGTCACTAGACTCACAGAGCTGTCAAAGAACACAGAAGAGACCAAATGGCATGACAACTAACATGAGATATACAAAACCAAGCCGTCATTCAATGCCTTTAATTCACATTTATATATGATAACTATATAGACAAGGTGCAGAATCCTCATCCCACGCCGAGTTAATCTGAGGTGGTGACTAAGAAGCTTGGGCTCCTTAGAACAATTACGAAGTTGAATACAAACTGAACTGTGAAAACTAAAATTTGAGTATCAAAAGTCTTTAAGACAATTTCCCAAGACTGAACTCCTAAAACATAAAGAACTGCCAGACTAAAGACACAACAGCTTACTAGAAAGCTCAGGAAAAGTGGCCTATGCATGTTTTTCAGTGAAAAGGTTTAACTCTATTCTCACATGAGTAAAATCTCAACTATATAAAATAAAGTAGCTTCTTGAACAAAAATGTCACTTAAGAACTAGATATCTGAATTAAACAATTTTCAGGTCAATTTACACGAGTTCATTTACATCAACATAGAGGAAAATGATTCTGTTCCTGGTCTTTATTTTCTGGAAAGGAATGAATAAATGAGGAAAATCAAGAAATGGAGCCTTTACTGGAGAATCTGCTGGTTTACCACATTTCCTTAGGCTGGTCGGTGCCTCCTTGTGATACATTACTGAGACTACAGATTGCATTTTATTCCTCTGGTGACCATGGGGGACAGAACCAGGGCCTTCACAATGAGTTACAACCCCAGCCATTCAGATGTTCTACTTTGAGACAGGGCTTGAAATTATGATCTTCCCATCTCAGCTCCCCAGCTGTTGGGACTACAAGCATGCACCACCACACCCAGCCCACAGGATATGTGTTTTTTGACAACCAAACTGTAAGAGAAGACCAACTAATAGCACAGTTTTCAAATTAACAGTGGTACTCCACTAGGTAATACATCTAAATCTCTCAGTTTAATAGAAAAAAAAAAAACAAAAAACAAAAAACAAAACAACAAGCTTTAAAGAACCATGCTGTTTTACACAATCCCAGCCCCTCCTCTGTCCTGGCTTCTTTTTCCCCTTGCCATGTACCCATCTCTCAACATGATGGGAAGCTGTAACCCATCCTGCCAGTGTCCGTACCTGGGGCCCGAGACACCAACTGCTGGCTCTCAGCACACTCCGCAAGCATTTAGCCACTCTGGAACACACTGGTGGTCTTACTCATGGGCACTTTCACTGGACTGTTGCTGGGCCATATTCTCTCTCTGGATTCAGCTCTGGCTCCTTGGGCTTGCACACACACAAGTCCAGTGTTACTGAGGAGCCACCAGCCTCAGCTTAGACAAGCCAGCCCAGCACGGAAGCAGTAATGACACGGCAACAGGGACCCTGCTGCAATCACACGTCCTGCACTCACCAGGCAGCCCGAGCTTCTCTCCATGATAGTCCTGCACAAGGGCGTCAGGATTTCAGCGCTGGGCAAGAACTTGTGGTCACTACCTGACCCAAAAGCAGGCCCACGACGGAGTCTCTGTACTTGGAATCATCACCAGGCCCACTCCGACTGGCTGCCCTTAATAGAAATTCCCCCACATCCTGCAGAGGATCAGCAACAAGTATAGGGACCAAGAAATGTCCTGCCACACCAGGGAACTGGACTGCAACGATTGAAGCCAGCAGAGCCACTATGTGGTCAATGTCGCCACCTGCTGGCTGGACAGCAGAGTACAGCTACAATGAAGCTCCCAAGCACTGACACAGGCCAATTCTGTGCAAGCCTTGTTGAGCCTGTAAATTCGACAATGAACTCAGTACTTGCAAGAAAGGACTGAGTACGAGCATTCACAGGTCGCTGTTAGTACGAGAAATGCTACAGAGGCCTCATTTCATTTGATCAGCGTGGGTACAGCCTGTAAGGCAGGCACTATGGGATGAGACCTGTCTTACAAACGCAGCGCATAAAAATTAAGATCTTTCTTAAATCATAAAGAGCAAAGTGAGGGCAGGAGTCTTGCTCTTCCTTGCTTAACCATCATGAGATCTACCTCTTAGTACCCCAGGGAGTCCTTCACGGCATCACACTCTACCAGGAGTCTCACTGTCTCTGGGCTACAAGGAAGCCGACGTTTAGCAAGGTTGAGCTATTGAGCAAGTCAGGCAGCGACCACTGAAACAGTGACTGGATACTACAGTGAACCTTCTTAGAGGAGAAGAGGACTGCTGACTGATAACTTTATTCAGACTCAGGAAGCAAAGGCAAGACCTCGCCAGCACCAGCCCTCAGACCCTGTAATTCTGCAAGGCTTATGAAATGGCCTCAAAATCTGAAACCTAATTTTTGCTTCTGCACACCACACAGTTCATGATACAACATCAAGTTCTTCAGTGGGAGCCCTCTGGTCAGTCGGGACCACTGCTAGATTTTAACAGCAGGTGGTTCTTCCCACCCTTCTCCAGAGACAGACCACCAAGCTAATCTCAAAAAAGGGAATTAATGTTTGGTTGCAGCTTTCTCGAATGGTGACTCACATGGTCAGAAGGGGCACATTCCCACGCCTCCCCTGTGCCTGCTCGCCCTCACACCTGGCCCTCAGGCACTTCGTGACCCCTTCAGTGTTAGGAAGTGTGGCTGGGAGAGCCTGCTGCTCAAGGACCCAGAGCCCTCTGGCAGCATTCTCAGAATGCCATAATCCGGGGCACTGGAGATACAGTCATGCTAGGGAATTGGGCTGTTTCTGAGTGCTGCGTGCTCTGGGCACTGCATGCTTGTGATGGCGGAGCCAGAGCTGGAGCACGGCCCTCATCTCTGGTCACCTCTATCAAGTTTGGCAAGTGCAGCAAACAAAGCCTCATTAGTCGGCCGGCCTGGCTCAGAAGTTTCCCGGGACTTTAAAATTCTGGAGGCCCAGCTCTAAGGGCAAAAGGAGCTAAATGTCTCACTCAGCCTGGGAGGCCTGTTCTAAATGGTCCGGAAGCAGCTGGCGGCTCCATCTCTGACAACACAGGCCCTGCCTTCCCCTTGTCAAAGCTCCTTCCAGGGAATGATTATGGATTTAACAGTGCCTTCTCCACTGAAGCTGCGTGTAGACGGTCTAACCTCCTGCACTGCTGTGACTGCACTGGCAAGTCTTTAAAAAGTTAAGGTCAAATGAGGTCACTGGGATGAGATCTAATACAGGGAACCTGATGAAGGTGCAGGTGACTGGGACACAGACAAACACAAGCAAGACCTTGTGAGCTACAGGGAGAACACAGCCATGAAAGCCGGAGAAAGCCCATTGAAGAGACTGACCCTGATGACACTTCAATCTTGGACTTCTAGCTACCGGAAGTGAGACGTATTAAGTTCCTGTTGCTCATGTCACAAAGGCTGCTTGTTACTTCAGCCCTAGTAAGCTGTTACAGTGATATTTCAGAGCAGTCTGGCTAACTCTAGGGGATCAGAACCACCACAGCTCTGACTAACTCACTCCAAGGGTAGAGACCTTTCGCCACTTGCAAAATGGTCAATACTCCTCAAAGCTCACTCTATTCCTAGATTCTAGACAACAAAAACTTTTTTTTTTTTTTTTTTTGGTACCAGGGATTGAACTCGTAGCTTGCACTTGCCAAGCAGATTATGCTGCTGAGCTCTCTCCGGACCTAGACTGCAAAGACTTTGATTAACAGGAAAGGCAGAGATGGCCCGTGTGCCTGTCTGCATTCTGCTGCTGTGACAAATACCCAAGAAAATTAGCGTAAAGGAGGAAAAGTTTATTTTGGCTCCCCGTTTCAGCCAGTCACTGGGATCTATTGCTTTGGGGTTGTGGCAAGGCGTGGAGGAAGACAACTGTCCCCCTCACAGTAACCAGGAAATAGGCACAAAGGGGCCAGCTCCTGAAATCCCCCAAGGGCAGGTCCCCAATGACCTCACTTCTTTCCACTGGGCCTCACTCACTGAACTTTCCCCCACCTCCCACTAGCGCTTCCGGCTGGTGACCAAACGGTGCACAGACCTCTGACACACAGTTCAGATCCAAACTATTGTGGCCCCCAAGAGACCTTAATTACATCCTGATTCCCAGAACCTCTAAATGTTACTTTCCATGATTAAACCAAGGACCATGAGACCGGAGAAATTCTCTGGGCAGATACTAAATGTAACGATGAAGGTCCTTATAGAAGGGAGGCCAGAAGGTCAAATGAAGGTGATGGTGATGGAGAGCAGAGGAGAAGAAACAGGCCCCAAGTCGAGACACACCAGTGTCTCCAGAGGCTGGAAATGGCAAGCCACTGGACCTCCCTGGTGTTCAAAGGGAACCAACCCCCCGACACTTGGTTATTAACCTCCTAAGACTCATTTTGGACTTCTGGCCTTTGAAAATATGTTTATATTACATGAAAGTGCTCAGTTCGAGGGGTCAGGAGCCACAGGAAACCAATAAGCACACTGAGTAAAACTATCTGAAGAGCTACTCAGAAGGCAGGTGTCGGGCCCTCTGGAAGCTACCTAGGTCAGGGCTGTCAAAAGTGGGGTAGCATCTCATATCCTGGGGCTTCTGAGAGCCCGCTGCTGAGGCCCTAGTCCCAGCATTATTGTTCAGCCCAGAAATCTGCCCTTTTAACGAACTGCCAAGTGAGACAGATGCACCGCGCTTTGGAACCAGAGGTTTACATGCTTCTGAGGCGCATCTTGCGCCCCAAGACTGCAATGGCAGGTAAGGTTCCACAGTGTACTACAGAAATGGACTTTCTTTATTTTCTTATCTATGAGGGCCTGAGTTTTTGCTTAATCCATTAGAACCAAATGAAATGCTGCACTATATCATTCATTGTTTTCTTTGCCCCATCACCCTGGCAAAATAAAAATAAACTTCCTCAGACCAATCAAACATCTCCTGTTTCTCCCTTTCTCTGTGCTGGTCAATAGGCAAACCTGGCTACTCCTCCCAGACTGAGCTATCATCTGCTCACCAGGCAGTCAGGCAGTCAGTCCGTCTCTCTCTCTCTCTCTCTCTCTCTCTCTCTCTCTCTCTCTCTCTCTCTCTCGGGGATAGAACCAAGACATCCTCAACCACGCGTGAAGCCACTCTGGTGGGGTTGTCTGGAAACACAGGACACTTCCGGTTGTCACACTGACCGCCATGCTGTGGGAAGGAGTTAGGATGTGCTCTAGGTCCAACAATACTCAGGATGGTTCTACAAAAGAACTGTCTTATTGGGGCCAACCAAACAGCCCAGAGGATTAAAGCACCTGCAAGCAGGCGCAGAGGCCAGGAGTTCAATCCCAAGGTCTGCCCGGCTGGCTCTGTCCCCAGAGTGTGCTGAGACAGCAACTTAGACTGGGCATGGTGGTGCATGCCTGTAATCCCAGCTCTTGGGAGGCTGTAAATAGGTGATCACTATAAGTATGATCTAGTAGTGAGACCCCGAAGACCCTGTAGACCCTTCCCTAAAATACAAAGAAAAAAAAAAAAACTTCCCCATCCAAACACCACTGTGCCCTAGCAAAAAGATGAATGCACACTGGTTATCTGGTTCAGGTGTAGCCTGTGTACTGTCCCCCAGTTTTAGAGTATGATCAAGGAATTTCCTTTGGAAGGCCTGTTAGCCACTCCCCAGACAGCCAAAAGGAGAGCATTAAAGGCCTACTGCCCTCCACAAACCAGACAATATGACCTGCTGCCTCCCTTAAACCAATGACATTAGCAGCCTACATCCACCTACAATGGGACCACATCCCCTCCTTGTCCCAGCAAACAGGGATTAACGAACTGTTTTTTTCATCTCCCAGCATGCAAACTGAGCAGTTCCTAAGGAAACTGTAGTCCAAGGAATGCCCTCTCCTTGGACGTCAAAGACCTCTCTGGTCTTCTGCATGTAAAAGCATGCCACCCACCCATGGTTGAAACTGGAGGACAATGTGTCCCTGAGGTCCTCCAGGATATGCCAGGTGTGTATCCTGTGGGTGCACATCGTGGCCACTCCATATGAGGTACCCTTTCCCCACATCTGGACCAAGTCTCAGTGCAGTGGCCCACAAACTGTTTCCAGTACTCTTATACCAGCTGGCATCCTTCCTCCCCCTCCTTAAATTGCCCCACCTTGCCACCCACTGTGTACCTACACTGTGCCTTTAGCAAAGAGGCCCCTCAGCATCACCCCCCTTACCCCCAATGCCCCAAAGGAAGGAATCCTATTTTTATGCTTTTTGCTCCAAAGTCATTCACGGACCCTTAGCTTCCATTAAAAAATATTCACTTAGCAGTTTCATGTTTTGGGTCCCCCTGTAAGATCACCCTTTTTTTTTTCTTACCTATCTTTGTTCTAAATTCTCACCATGTGCACAGACTCCACTCTAGACTTGGGCACAGAGCCACAGCTTCTGGCCTGACCCCCACACAGGCAATTCAGAGCACAGCATTAAAGGAAACAGAAATGGAAATCACATGCTGTTCTCTGCTCAGAACCCTTAAGTGACTTTCAAAACATTTAAAATCAAATCCAAACTCTTTATCATGATCCGCATTAAAGGTTCTACTGTGACAGGAGCTAGGATTATGTTAAACAGTAAAGGCAGGGGACCCCAAATGGAGTCTGCTGAGTCATTGCCTTCTAGGAATCTTACAAAAACACCTGCCAGATGTCTGTGATGGTTAGGGCCCTCCCTGGAGCATGACCAGTGCATGTTCAGGCAGGATGCTGACTCAAGGGCACACACACAGGCACCAAGGGAAGCCTCCCACATTGGATTCTGGAAAGTATGGAGGTTCCTCACAGGTAGAAAGCATATGGCTTGCACAAGGTCCGAGCCCCTTTCATTTTTTTAGATTTATTTATTTGGTATATGGACTCACTACACAGCTCAGACTCATAGTGATCCTCCTGTCTTAGCCTCCTAGTGCTGGGATTACAGGCATGCAGCACCACACCAAGTTTCTTTTTTTCTTTCTTTGGTGGAACTGCATATTGAACTCAGGCCCTTGCGCTTGCCAGGAAAGCACTCATTCTACTGAGCTATCTCCCTGGTCCCTACACCCAGTTTCAGTGGCCAGCACAGCATAGGCACCCTGGGGCCAGCACGGGCACACGGTACCAGGAATGAAACCCGGGTCCTTGCACTTGCCAGGCAGCTGCTTAGACCGCTGAGCTATCTCCCCAACTCCCAAGCTCCTTTCTAAAGGCCTTAAAAGCCCCAGAGGAAAAGCCTTTGTGAGTAACCTATACAGGTCCTTTGCACAGTTGGCAGGAGCTTGAGTTCCCTGCTTTTATATCTTTCAAATAAATGTGATTACAGTTTGCCACCTCCCCATGCAGTTTTGTTCTCTGTCACCACAGGACAGGACTCCAGTGTTCTAGTATCACCACAAGCTGCATGGACCCAACCCCAACCTCTACCTGCATAGGCACTGCCATATTTATTCTTAGGACCTGGACCTCCCTTTTTCCTCAGATCTTGGTGATAGCTGTTTCCATCCCAGCCTTTCTTTAGGTCTTCACGTGGTTTTCATCTCTTTGCAGACAACAGCTTGACTTTAATCTGTTCAAGCTGCTGTAACAAGACACTTTAGAGCAGATGGTTTACAAACAACAGAAACATTTCTTTGCCTACAGGCTAGGAAATCTAAGATCAAAGCAGAATCTGTGCAGGAGGCGGGCTCTTTGTTTCATCCACAGTGCTCCATCTCAGACGGAAGGCAACACAGCAGCTCTCTGGGGCTTTTTTTAAGGACACTACTTGCATTCATGAAGGTCCTTACCTCGCACCCTCCTGTGCCCCCAAGGCCACACCTCCCAATTCCCAGTGCTGGTGCTTAGGTCTCTACACACACATTTACTTTCCCTGGAAGGGAGCTCTTTTAAAAGTTTAAAATCTCCCTCCCCTGAAGCCTTTTCTGACTCCCCTCACCACTTCCCATCTTATTCATCTTTCTTGTTTCTGAGACAAAAATACCTGATGCCCAAAATTAAGGGAGGAAAGATTACTTAACTCACAGTATGTGGAGGTTTCAGTCCACACTCAGCCGGCTCCAAGGCAGGGCGGCATGGCGGATGAGCAGTGGAACAGCAAAAGCCGCAAGAGCAAATGGAGCAGCAGCAGGGAGCAAGGCTCTTCCCACCCTCACAGTGAATGCAGGCCGCTCACCCCAGGGCGGGTGGAGCACTCACACCCATCACCCCAGCGCTGGACCATGAGGCAGTCACACTCTAAAACCTGCCCCATGACTGCAGGAGGCCTGGGGGGGCATCCAGACACAACCCCTAATACCTGTTCTTTGTAACCTGAAGGACGAGTGGCTTATTTAGTTCACAACTGATGGCTGCCTGGTTCCAAGAGAGAAACATCATAGTGGCAGAGTATGGAAGAGCAAAACCGCTCAGTTCATGGCAGAAGGGAGAGCAGAAAAGATACATCCTTCCAAGGCACACCTCCAATGACCTCCGCAACCTGGCCGCCTACTAGCACATTCAGTTAGAAACAGTAATGCATCACAACACCAAGGAGTGCTGTGCCCTCCCTTCACCTCTAGTCAAGTAGACAATTAAACATTCTGACCACACTCCCTCTTGTGGCTGTTTCACTCTCATACTGGTTGGTCCCTACCTCTGTCCTCCCAAAAAATTCTACAGCAAAACCTCCATTTTACAGATGAGTTATGGAACATGCCACCTACCAGTGAGCCTGGGGAAAAAAAAAACAAAACCCAAACAGGGACCGACCTAACTCAAAGATGCATCCCTAGTGCCTGGCAGGTATCCAATAAATACATTTGAATAGGATTCTATCAGTAGACAGCTGGATTTGAATGACACACATCTAATATGGTCAGTCCTACGCCCCTTGGTGTTTTTCACCTGAACAATCTAAGACAAGGAGACTGAATTTTAGCTCCAACCCAGGTACCATCTGTTTTTCACAGAGGGAGGTACCGGGGCTGGTGTGGATGGAGTAGAACCAGGTGGGGTGTACTACATGTTAGTGTACTGAAATCCAACAACCCTCCAGGTAGCTGCAGCCAGCACTGCCTCAAAACTGAGGACCTGCAGGGCGGGGGTGGGGGATGAACCGCTGTGGACAAAGTAGTGGAGTTAGCAAGTGAGGTACCTTTGCTGGGTTCTACAGCTCTTTGCTCCTGGAACAGCCTAGAGCTGAGCTGCAGCAGCCCGACCCCTACACCAGCCAAACTGTTGCTTCTAAACGACAAACGAAGTGCTGGTGGTGAATGAGCTACATGGAACATGTCAGTGCACAAGAATGGGGGTCAGAAGTCCAAGTGTGCCTCTTACCTGCACACCTGGTAGAAGGTGTGCCACATTGGATTTGCACTCTGCACCCCCTCTGCCGTAAAGTTGGAAGACCCATGCAATAAAACAGCACACAGAGTCCACACAGGAATCCCAGCTCTAGGTCCAATTCTATCATTTTCTGGGCTCTGCTATGTAATCCTGTAATTACTCTAGGTAGTCTTTCAGGATCTTAGCGTCACATTTGCAAAAAGGGGTTTCTGCTGCCCATATGGTCCAGCTCTACTAGTCTAAAACCTAGGGATAGGACATGGTTGACTGGTATGTTTTGCTCTGGACACTGGAACGACATATATTCTCTATCTGATGCTGCCCTGCAGTCTGTCGGGTATCAAAGTTGTTGCCTGTTCTGACCTCAACGACAGAAGTGAGCAGGCAGCCCTGGTACACTCTTCACCTTTTAATTGTATAGCTGCCAAGACCAAAAATACGGATCATTCAATATTTACACCAGGGTTTAAATCACGTTGCCCATTGTGCACTTATATGCACTACATTAATATTACAAGGGAGCTGTGTGTCAGAGGCTACCGAGATCTTAAAATGAGATTGTTATAGGTATCATTCCTCTCTGGTTTTGATGGTCCTTTAAATGTAAGAGAATGATGAAAAGCTGGCATTTAACACCGCCTAACACTATATACTTTGTCTGAGGAAAGATAATTTAAAATTAGCTTCCACACTTATGAACAGTACCATTCAGTAAACTTTAATCACATGAAAGACAGACAACGCATGCAATTCTAACCCTCCCAGCAAATTCTGCAGTAAAATAAATCCCCACATCAAGCACAGGTTTGTAAGGGGAACTAGCTCTTTAAAGCCAGGAATGGTGGTATG